ATTCGTAATAAATAAAGCTACAATAGTATAATGATCATTCACTAATAAACAAGGAACATGCTTGGTGTACCCCACATGGGCTCTGTATACAAGGAGCATCACTTAGCGCTCCTATAAATGGGGCTCCTGTCTTGGCGCCCTTGGTATACAGGGCCCATGTGGCCGTGTACACTTAGATTTATCCAATAAACATGAAGGGTTTGTTCGAGCCACATTATTTTTAAGAAAATACATTCTTAACAATAATTTGATATCATTTTCATCACATATTTTTCAATGAAATAATATTACACGTAAATTAAAAATTTTCCTTTATTTTTAACCACATATTTCTTATTGATTTGACATGAATAATGCATTTTTTCCTTAAATGTGGCTCAAACATGGGCATAATTTACAATAGAAGAGACATTATGTAATTCTTGAATTGAGAGTTAGTTTTTTTTTTTCGTAAATTAATTGATAAAATATTTCTATAATTAGATTACATCTTATTTGCCATTTTGTCTTTATACTAGTTTAAAATTTTATTACATTTTATTTAAAATATTATTATCCTACTCAAAGTTTAAATTATTTTTAATTCCTTTTTGTAGTCAATATTTATATTAATTTTAGTTTGTTTTGCTAATTGTGAAGGTTTCTGTACTTTCGAAAACTATTGATGATGTTTCGGTATTTATACAGATATGAAGGAAACTCTATGCAATTTACTTATAAATAAATAATCAAAAATTAGTGCAGTTTTAGATAAGGTTCTTTTTTGTGTATCAATTACAACTTGACAGACAATGATAAGACTTGTGAGATTCATCATTGATTTCCAGTCAATTACCATAATGCCCTTTTTTCTTTTGTCTGTTGATTTTGTTGAAATTTACTTGTATAATATGATTAAAATGTGTAAATTTTAATAAGTTTTCAACATGTGTAATGATTGGGTACGAATCCTTAATTATAATAGGTGTATTATTAAAGAGTTATGATTTTTTTTATTACCATGGAAACTAGATCACTATATTATAATCCAATCATAAATGACGTAATCTAATGGTTAAAATAATTTTATACCAAAAGATAAGATAGTTGAGAAAAGACATATTGAACTCTAAAATTGGATGCTCCTAATTTCATTTTCTTCACTCCAAATTAATTCAATTAAATCGATTTCTAATTTCTTCCTTCTCTCAAGTATGTCAACATAATTTCTAAATTATTTTTTTCGTTTCGTGTTCGATATTGTAGTATCTGATATCATTCGATTTAGAAGAGTACAGTCAAGCTTCGATTTATCCGACAAAATTAATATTCTGATATATTAATTTTGGAAAAAATATTATATCTTGGAAGATACACGTTCATTTAACTATGTTAGCACCGATGCTAGAGATGAAATGTATCATAAGAATATTTACAATAGCATACATTGCTTTATTTTATTTCCTTTGAATTTCCTGAATTTTCTACGTTTCAACAAGACTTATTATTATTCATCTATCATGATTTCAGTAAGTCATAACTCTTTTTCGTAATTTGCATTACAAGGAATACAATTTATACCCCAATTTTTTCGACATATTTTCAAAATCTACCAACATAGAAGAAACTAGATATGCATACTTGGAGTGATATAATGGTATCTATTACCATTAGTGGTGGTTATCATGCGTCTAGGTGGTGATAGAGACCATTTAAACTTATCAAATGAATTAAGGATATATTTTAATTCATTGGGCATATCTAGGAAGTTCTCCAACTGCCACTTAGTTTTGCATTAAAGATCATTACTTCCTCCACGTGATCCAGGTGCCCGACAAAGCACTTAAAAAAAATTATTCAAACATATTCAAAAGCAAAATTTTAGTCTCAAAAGTAATTTTTGACTTTTCAAAACTCAGCCAAACGATCCCAAAGTGATAATAAGTTTCAAATCGTACAAAATGTATTGATAATAAGTTAATGTTGCAGTTGTTACTTGTTAGTCATACAGAATGTGTAGAGTATGCTTGACTAGCTTAATATTTAAACTTTGTCAAACATGCACCAAATGTGGAATTAATTTTGGCATCTTTTTATTTTTCGATGAAAATTACAAGTAAATTTTATTTGAACTTTAATTGAAATCTCAATTGGGTTACTAAAAACTCTAATGTCCCTATTGGATTGTTGGACTACAATTTCGATTTAAATTTTATTATCATGTCACATCTTGTAAGCTATCATTTTTCAAACTAATAGAAATTACTTAATCTGCAATCACACCACAATCGATCTTCTCAATCATTACGTTGCACTATATAAGTGAAAGTTGTAAAATGAAAATTACAGATAGATCAAAAGGTTAACATTCACGATTTTATTTTATTATTATTTAACATTTGATGGTGTAGCATAGGTGTAAGTTGGTTTGCTGCCATAGTGATTACAGAAAGAATTGTTAAAATATTATTGTCATTTTAAATAATTTCCACGTGGTGAAATCTGAAAGTAAAGTTAAATTTCAATGAAGTAATTGAAATTATATATTAAAATAAAGTGATCTAATTGACATAGAATAAAGTGTTGCGTTTCACCCTGAAAATGACGGACACACGAAGCAATTAACTAAGAGCTTGATTGGTAGTAATTTTGAGAATTAATTTTTTGACTATTGGGGAGAAAAGTGTATTCTACCTATGAGGGAAGAAGTAAAAAATGACGTCTTGAATAATAAAATAACAATCAAAAAATTGATTTTTAGGGGTGAAAAATTGCTATCAAACATGGACTAAAATAGTAAAAAACAAATTAAATTCAGTGTTCCAATCTAAGCGAAAATTTAAATTCAATTTTTTGTATAATATTGATTTTTATTGTTAGTACTCACCGTTTGTTTAAGAGAGATTACTTGAAGTGAAAAATAACTTTTTTATGAAGAATATGTGATTAAAAAGTTAAAAAAATATTATGATTTCATTTGTAAAATTATTTTATTTAAAAAATATGTGGTTGAAAATGAGCTGATAAAAAAATAATTCTAAAAGAAACCATGTCAAACAAATGCTTGTAAGCATAATTCTGGAGACTAGTGACGCTTATATTTGAAAAAATTAAGTTATTTGTACAATGCTAGTTGACAAATATTGTTGAAAATATTGGAGGTGGCGAAATTCGGACCAATAATTTAAAAAACAGTTTTTGACAATTTAAAAAATGAATGGATATGATAATATCAACAAAAATTGTCATTCATTATTGTACAAATAGCACGATTGTATTTGAAACTACTTATTGTACTAGAAAGTTCAATCCTAGCCACCCATCTCTCTCTCCCCCTCTCCCTCTCTCCCCCTCCTTATTCCTTCTTTTGAACACATTTATGATGTTCTTGATCCTTTTTTTTTTTTTTTATAAAAAGGATTTTATAATAGTATTTTTCTTGGAGAATATGTAGTTAAAATGTTTAAAAAAGAATAAAATGACTTTACATGTAAAATCATTTTACTCACACAATATATGACCAAAAATGAATATATATATATATAGAATGAAACTCACGCAAGAGCTTAAAGTCTATTGTTTTCAATGTTGGTGTTGTCAGTTGTGATATCAATTTCACACAAGACATTATAATAATCATTTTACATTTTTAATTTTTAGAGTACCACTTAGCAATTATGTAGGACCAATTGTCAACTAAGCAGTTACCGTTCGTTTGAGGGACAATAGGTGTATGATGTGCTAACTTGTGAAATTTAAAATTAAATTGAAATTCTAGTTTAGTGAAATTTTGGTTACAATGATGAAATTCACTCCCTTGTGTTTGGATGTTGAGATAGC